AATTTTAAGTAAATCTATTATTCAGTGGCAAGGCGCAGAGCGTTCGGGGCAGCAATATTAATTTGTATCAAATATAACATTAAACGGTGGTTCTAATACATTTTTTGATATTATTAACCAGAGTACATACGTTATATGGTATTTCCTTCAAAAATTAATGTACTATATGAACTTTTTTTTCAAATATTTCTTAAGTTTCTTTCATCAGTGCTGAAAAGCAACCATGAGTGTAAGAAATTGTGTGCTACCTAAAATTTCACCCCTGGAAACTTTATCCCCATAAAGGACTTCACCACAGTTTTTTTACTGGATATACTGAGCTGTAAAGAGAGAGAGCTTAAAAAATAGTAATGTGTAAGCAAATCAATGTTGATAAGTTCCCTTTTTTTAATAAAAAATACATACTAAAAGAAAACAATATATATATTTCTTCAAACAGTGCGTATTTAAAAAAGATAAAAATATATTTCGTAACCTGGTAACATTTTAACAATATAAATATATTCATTAGCATTTACTTCGCTTGTTTGTATTCTATGGTTTCATAAGCAGCCAGTGCAACGTTGGAAACTTTAAAAATTTTCGATAGTGGCCCACGACCATTCGATAGTGCAAAAAATTAGAACCATTCGATACCATCGATAGTTTCACAGCTCTACCGACCGCTTAGATGTGCCTGCTGCCACTCGGGAGGCCCCTGGTTCAATTTCTGGTCCCTGCAACATAAAACAAAGTTTTTAAAATAGCGGTCGACCCTAGGCAGACAATGGCAAACCTCCGAGTGTACTTCTGCCATAAAAAAGCTCCTTTGAAGGTGGATTAAAAGCATTTGATCCATAACAGAAACCACATAAATAACAGTTTCAAAGCTTGCACAAAGTTAACAAAAATTAATCAAACTATAAAAAATTTTTATCAAAATTTCAAACTTTTTATTCAGAATTTGTAAAAAATTTTCGAGTATTCATTTTTGTAGCCCATTTTATTTTAGTAAGTAAAGTGCTAGTTTCAAGTCGCTTCGTTGATGTTATAGAATTTTTTTGTGGATGGTGTGGCGGATTTTTATTCATATAAAAATAGATTTTGTTCATACGTTATTTAGAAGAAAATACTCAACCCTCAAATTTAAAAGAAAATCAACGGTAATTTGTAGAGACTTCAAACTTGAACTTTATTGTCCTAAAATTGAATGGGATACAAAACTGCATACTCGAAAATTTTCTAAAAATCCTGAATTAAAAATTTGAAATTTTGATGCAATTATTCTAACCCGCATCCATCGGCAATTTTTTGTAATACAAAGTACGTTCTGCATCAATGTGATACATATGGAAAAAGACCCTAGCACTCAATGAAATGCTAGGATTTTTTTTCAATTTTTATTAATGACCAATGTTTATTCATTTTCTGATAATAAGGTTAAAAATGCTTGAAAGATCAATGTATGTATACGCATTTGCCGCAAAAAAACCAATTCAAAACATTAACTAGATCGAACTATATTTTAAATTAAAATTATAAAAAAAAAATAAACATAAGTTGCAACCAATATCATTTTGAATTTTGCTACTATCTTATTGACTGCGAATGTTTTTGCGACTCATATTTCTTCCATCCATGGAACTCATTTCTGAATCATAAATTCCGGGGACTAAGTAAATGGAAAAAGCGTCTGAAAATGTTTTGGAGTACATTCTTCACATACTTGCGCTTTCGTCCCACACTTTGGTGAAAGTTGGTCACAAATAGAATCGGGAAACGAATGCAATATCATATTTTTCCATTTTTCGAGCGGGAACCTGACGGTGAACATTTTTGATTAATCTGCCAGTATATTTATACTATTATTAAGCTACTTTGTTTTATTACTGACTATAATTCACTATATATTTTAGCATTTTGGTGAAATAACCAAACACGATATGGACAAGGAAATACCACAACTTATTTTGTCTTATGCTACCCGGATAAATGCAGAGCAAGCTGTCATGCGTGGGAAACTTTTTAAAGATAAGCGTTTACAGGTAAATGCAAACATAGGTTGTAACTAATTAATTCTTTTATGATTTCATTTAATTTCAATTAATATCATTCGTATGTACTAATGGTACTTAAGATTAATAAACGAGTATTGTTAAAATACTATTGGGATTAGACAAGCTAAATTTCAATCTCATCTAACAGGTCAGGGTCAGTGTTGCCGCGAATTAATTTTAGTGGTAGCCTAATCCCTTTAAAAAAAAGGGCTAAAAAGAGTTAAAAAAAGGTGTTGTGGCTAAAAATGGTAGCTAAATTTTTTTTACTTACATATACATATATAAGTATACACGCAAACATTTTCAATAAGTAATGGTATAGGAAAACAATGAACTTTGGAAAAAAGCTAATATTTTATCCAACCAAAAACTTTTTTGTATAAAAGGGGAAATATACGACACCAGCTTGCTGGCTCCTTCATAGCATGCTGGTACAATATTTATTTCTTTACAAATGAGGTCCAGGAAAGATCGAAATGATTAGAGCCGAAATTTCACAATTTTTCTACCATTTTTTTAAACATTGTTCTTTTTTTTTAATTCACAACTGCAACATCGTGAACTTAATCTTCCACAAACACGGCTTTGTCTCATATAGTGCAAGAAATTTCCACCAAAATACTTTTTTCTTAGAAAAATTAGCTAATTTCACCACTCACGACACCAGCATGCTGGTACAATCATAAAATTTTCAAATAATTTTCGAAGTCGCACCAGCATCACAGCCATTTAACAAATTAAGCATATATAAAAACGTAAGGAACATACAATACATATATGTACACTTGCCCGCATATATCTGCGTACAGTGCAAAAAAATTGGAATGAACAACTTAAATCACACATTTCTCATCTAATACAACACGTATCGAAATGAACTTTGTTTATTTCCTTAAAAGTGTATTTATCTTAACTACTATTATCTTTATAGATATTTTAAAGTACAAATTATAACTTTAATTCATTTTTTTTAAACCATATATAAAAAGACATCCGCAAAAGTCTGCGTACAAACTGTATTTTACAACGATGTTGATGCCCGCTGATATCCTAGTAACTAGTAGGGTAACCGTTTCTCATTAGCACCTCTCTAAGACGTTTTGGCATCGACTCGACGAGTTTTTTTGTATCTTCTCCTGTAATTTTTGTCCATTCCTCCGATATTATGTCCTTTAGCATACTTTTTNATGCCCATATACAACTTTTTCATGCCAAGTATGAATCAATTCTCCAAAGGGCTAAAAAGGGCTAGGGGCAATTTTAAATTTATATGGCCAAAAAAAGTATGTGGTAGCTAAATCTAGCCACCAAAGGGCTAACACGGCAACACTGGTCTGGGTTCAGCTCTAACGGATATTACACTCCTCGTCATTTGAATAGCGCACCCTTTTAATCCTTAGTATTTACAGTTTTCCTTTTGTTTATTTAATATCTAATATATAAAAATCTCGTAACACGCTGTTGGTGGACGAACTCCTCCGAAACGGCTCTACCGATCCTTATGAAATTTTTTGTGTAGATATCTTTGGTAGGTATGAGAATCGGATGTAAAGTATATTTCATACCGCTAAGTTAAGGGGGCGTGGCACCTCCCATACAAATCGAATCTTTGGTACTGCATATCTCTGGAAGCGTTCATTGCAGATTACTGGAACATGGTATGGAGATATATAAAATCAATCGCATAGTTATGAGGAAAAATTGGGGCTATTGGGAAAAGGGGCGTGGCACCTCCTATACAAACCGACTATTGTTTCACACATATCTCTGGAAGTGTTCATGATAGAATGCTGAAACTTCGTATGGAGATATATGAAATCAATCGCATACTCATGGAAAAAATTGACGTTTTTGGAAAAAGGGGTATGGCACCTCCCATACAAACCGAATTTTTCATTGTAGAGTACTGGGACGTGGTATGGAGATATGAAATCATTCGCGTACGCTTAGAGAAAATTGAGGCTATTTGAAAAAGAGGCGTGGCGCCTTTCAAACATAGGCTGACTTCCAAAATGTATCAATACAATATTTGGAAACTGTTATACTACGGTATTCAAACTGTTTGTAAATGCAGAGTTGCGACACATTGCAACCTTATATATTGCATATTTTAAATATTCAATTTAGCAATGAACAACTTTTCTGAATTTTCAATTTTTAAAACACCAATGGTAACCAAACACAAACGAAGCTTCAACTTTGTTTCTGATGCGCTGATTGCTCTAGCGATGCGTTTCGATAAGTTTTCGAATGCGTTTTGGAAAAATAGACATTGTCAACATTTTGTAGTTCGGCGTTATGGGACATTATACTTTGTACGTATGCAAACCAATAGACGTTTTGGAAGTCAGCCATACTGAAACTATTACGTACCTTTGTATGTGTATATAATTATTCTGTACGTGTGTTTGTGAGTGAATCGATTTTAACGAAATTGTTTTGTGTCTTTGAGGTGGTCTCTGGGTTGTTAGATTCACAGTTTGACCCGCCAGGTGGCGCTAGGGTCGTGTTGTTAATTAATCTTACTTATGGATCCGATATGGCTTATATTCGAAATATGTATTGGTATCGTAAAGAGAAATATTTTTGCAAAAAAAACCTTGCCCGCCAAGTGGCTCGGGAGCCGGAGTTACTAAAAATGGTATTTATGATCCAATTTGGAGATATGTATTGTTAAGGGCAGTACTATTACAAAAAAGAGCCGCCGGATGCCGCTGGAGTCGAGTTATATCAATTATATAAATAGGCAATCATGTTTCCTTTACACTCCTTTTGCGGCTACCTCTAAGGTATAAACAATTATATATCATTAGAAAGGTATTTTGATGCTGATGTGCAGGCAATTTATCAAATTTCAAATTGGTTTAACATAAAGCGAAAAAATCAATTCAAAAGTGACACCAATACTAATGCCGTACATGTACATGGTTGGGGCGGAAATGCCTCCTAAATGTATGCTTTAATATTGATACTGAATTACAGAAACGTGCTAAGCAGCAGTTTAGGAATAAGATGTATGTATGTACATAAATAGACTAGAGACAAAAAATGAAGAAGGTGAAGTTGAGTATGGAGAAGAAGAAAGGGATAAATACAGAAATTAACATATTAACATATTAAGATCAGGATAAAGGAAAAGATAAAGATGAAGAAGAAGATGAAGGCCAAGATGAGGAAGAAGATGAAGATGAAGATGAGGAAGAAGATGAAGATGAAGATGAAGATGATGAAGATGAAGACGAAGATGAAGATGAAGATGAAGATGAAGATGAAGATAACTCACCTCACCTCCGCTTAAAAACTAACTCCACCTGAGCTCACCACACATTAGTTCACCACAGTCTACCACTACTTCACTCCCCACTTCTAAATGCACCACACCTTAGTTCACCACACCTCAACTCACCACACCTTAACCCCCACACCTAAATCCACCACACCTTAATTCATCATACCTCAACTTTCTCACCACACCTTAACTCCCTACACCTAAATTCACCACACCATAATTCACCACATCTCAGCTCACCGAAACTAAATTCACCACACCTAAACTCACCACACCTCTTAAGCCCACCACACCTGAATTCACAACAAAGTAACTCCCACAACCAATTCCTCCACACCCTGAAATATAAAATAATAGCGGCGCTCATATAAATTGATAAACTTCCGACAAACGAGATAAAATGATAATTAAATCAGTTTATCACTTTTGAGGAAGACCCCGAATATATTGCAATACAATGAGGTTTCCGTATGTTTTTTGGTTTTTGGTATCTTATCTTATATATAAATAGGCAATCATGTTTCCTTTACACCCCTTTTGCGGCTAAACTATACCTCTAAGATATAAACAATTAGAAAGGTATTTTGATGCTGATGTGCAGGCAATTTTTATACCCGAGCGCACTTGTGCACAAGGGTATATTAATTTTGTTTACATAACGGTTGTTTGTAACAGCCAAAACGAATCGAGATAGATATAGACAAATGTATACAAATGATCAGGATGAAAAAAGAAATCGATTAAGCCATGTCTGTCTGTCCGTCCGTCTGTCCCTGTACACGATAACTCGAGCAAAAATTGAGATATCTCAACGAAATTTGGTATGTAGGTTTCCCTTAAGCCAAGGTAGGTGGGCGAAATCGGACTTTAACCACGCCCACTTCCCATATAACGGTAATTTCCAGAAATACGAAAACTGCGATATTTTAGTAACTACTGAAGATTATTCACTCAAAATTGATATTTACAATAATTTTTAGACGAAAAATAAGAATATTATAAATTTTTGGAAAATGGGCGTAGCCACGCCCACTTATGGTTACATGTGTATATCTTGGTAACCGCTGCACCAATTTCTTCCAAACTTGGCACAGTTGTTGGCCTTGGTACAGCATAAAAAACCGCCGAAACTTTTTAAAATCGGACAATAACCACGCCCACATCCCATATAACGGTAATTTAGAGAAATACAAAATCTTCGATAAATCATTAAATATTGAAGCTAATTTATTCAAAATTGATGCTTGCAACAATTCTTTACCAAGAAATACGTTTATGGTAAAATTTTGGAAAATGGGCGTGGCACCGCCCACTTATGATCACATATAAGTATATCGGTAACCGTTCTACCAATTTGTACCAAACTCGGTATGGTTATTGTACTTGCCACGTGTAAGCAAAACGTTGAAAATTATTGAAATCGGACTAAAATAACGGCCGATTCTCATATAACGGTAAATTTAAGAAATGCTTGAAACTTCAATATTTCGAAATTGAAGGACGCTAATTTACTCAAAATTGATACACCTCGGCTTACCATCTAGCGGAAGGTTTCGGAAGGGTGAAAAAACATATATTTAATACTTGCGCCGGGTATTTAATGTTCGGCTCCGCCCGAACTTAGACTTTCTTACTTGTTCGAATTTCAAATTGGTTTAACATAAAGCGAAAAAATCAATTCGAAGTGACACCAATACTAATACCGTACATGTACAAGGTTGGGGCGGAAATGCCTCCTCAATGTATGATTTAATATTGATACTTAATTAAAAAAATCTGCTAAGCAGCAGTTTAGGAATCAGATTTATGAAGATTAAGATTCATGCAACGAAGAAGGTAAAGTTGAATATGTAGAAGAAGAAAGGGCAGATTAGAATAAAAGTAAAGAAACCTAAATATAAAGACAAAGAGGAAGGAAAACTTAACTACCTAACCTAATAACAATAGTGGGGGTGAATACATAAATGAAGAAAAGAATGAAGATATAAATCAGGATAAAGGAAAAGATGAAGACGAAGGTGAATATGAAGATGAAGATGACGATGAAGATGAAGATGACGATGAAGATGAAGATAAAGATAAAGATAAAGATAAAGATAAAGATAAAGATAAAGATAAAGATAAAGATAAAGATAAAGATAAAGATAAAGATAAAG